CAAGTCTTCATTATGGATGTGTTAACAAAAGCAGCTCAAAAATGAAAACAAGGCTGGTTGCTGCATTAAGATCTGTCGGTTTGCTGGTGCAGGCACATAAACAAGGCTTTGGTTGTAGACGAGTAGTGAAACAATTATTGTGTAATAAGCATTTCACTCAGAACACCGTTTTTTTCAATATCAGGAAAGCATTGATCCCGACAGTGAAAATATTATTTGTAATCGGATTGATTCAAAAAAAGACTGTGATTTAAATCTGCTACTTAATGGTTCTTTCGACCTTTTTTCGAACTTATTAATGTAAACATTCTTACGTTATGAACGGATTAGGTACATTTTTTTACAATTTAAACTTGGTTTTAATAGAAGATGTGTATGGGACCCCTCTAAGAACCAGTTTGGTACACATTAATTAGTTTTTTGGTTATATTCTGCACTGGCCAATGCTGCAAGCTAATGTATCAAAAGAACAAATGTTTTTTCTCCTTTCAGTAACGAACATCAAACTATTTAATACATATATAAACCCATATTTAGTAAATACTGTAATTTAAAATTTAACGAAATTGGATAATTTGCAACAAACCATAAAATATTGGTGAATATTTGTTCTTTGAATACTACTATTCTTGGGACAGTTTGCAACATTCTGATTCAGTGCTGTTCTCCTGATAAAACTTTACTCACAGTTAAGTTTGTAAACTTTTAGCAACTTTATTTTGCACAGTGTTCTGAGGATACCTGTGTTGTCATGGACAGAAGTAAATGAATAATAAGAGATTGACTAACCAAGTCCTGTTATATTCTAAAACTAGACAAAAACAACCTAAGCTAAGACTAGACTAAACAACATTTTGTACATTACAGACTGTACGATCAGACTTATAAGTCACTAGAAAATATCCTCTCAAATACACGCCAACTCCTTTGGAAGAAAAATCTGTTCTTTTCCGTTAATTCACCACCATTATTCTTTTATGCTTGGTTTCCGCTCATACCACAAGTTAGCTTATGTTAGGTCTATGATAGGGTATTAACGAGATACAGAATCGCAACATTTATTGATAGACTCATTTGGAGAAAAACTCTGTCGTAAACGAAAATGTGAAAAATGTCCATTTTGTCTTTATTTTGGAGGAATCTTATCTCGTATTCATGAATCTCGGAAAGCATGAGGAAACTGCCTGCTGGCAAAGCATACCGTCCAGTTATCACTATGCAAGTGCGGTCCTAGACCTATATTTTTTTTGGGGGGGGGGGTCACCGGGGGCCTGGGGCCAGGAAAGGAGGTCCTCCCCCAGAAATATTTGAAAATGAAAGTACCCAAAACATCTTCTTTTGTAAATACTGTTATTCAAATGGTAGAACAGAAAGAGAAAAAACCGTGGTTATGAACTAATGGAAAAGAACCAAAAATATTTTATTAAACTGTAATAATTAAATTACCAATGACATGTTTATTAAAACTATATTGTTAGTAGATTATACAATTAAGCTCAGTATAAGTAACAGAAACAATAAACAAATATTACATTTAAAAAGAAAGAACATATATTACAAAACTTATATATAGGATTGATTGACGACAGGTTAGTAACTTTATCTTTTGTAAAATAAATGAACACAAACCTTGATGATCTAAAAAACTATAATCAAGTATATAGTCATTTGTTGATATTGTGTTCAGGTATTGTCTGTTTGGATTTGTAAAATTCCAGTAAAACTATACAACAACTAATTTTTGGTAAAATTATTGTTTAGTAAAATGACTAGCAATATACTATTGACTAGGAAAATTGTTTTTAATATCTTATAACTTAATATATGATTGCACACTCCAACGAATAAGTACAAAACTACTCATAAAGTTTAACTTATATAACAATGAAGATATAAATAAAAACAAAATAGTAACTCACTAAAAATAATTATAAAACTATACTAAATTTGTATAATATTTAAGAAAGAATAAAGTTATAAAACTAAAGTTAGTTAAAAACACACAATGTTAAATTAAATATAAGTATCATTATCATAAAGAAACTAAATTAACATGCTTTGGGAGTTGTTTAAAAAAAAGAAGTTCAACACTTCATAAACAAGCATAAATAGTAAAAAAATTACAAACAAAACTTAAATTACCTGAGGATTTAATAAAAACATCAAAATGTTTAACTGAAATATAAAACGGTTTAAAGTAAAAACTTGAATACTAAAAGGTTACTCAATTAATAACTAACAACATAATATCATAACATGATGGCAACACATACATTGGCATGTAAAAGTGAAACTCAAAGAAAATTGTCATTATAATGGGAGTATGGCTTGCATAATTATTCAGTTTGGTGCAAGAACAAGGAATATACTATGTTAACCCATTCAACATACCTCATACATACCTCGTTAACAAATTACAAAGAAAATTATTATAATAAAATCAATCCACAATATTTGAATTATTAAATGTGTAAAACATGTATTATTCAATAATTAGGACACAATCATTCAATAATGCATTCTAACAAAAGAACATCATCAGTAAGAGGGACGGTTTTTCAAGCACGGGCTGTTTTTGCAGATAAATCTGTAGTTCACTCAAATGTCGCAACGAGGCTCCTCGCCACTTACTGGCATAATTTGTGAACAGAATTGACACCATTTACAGCTCTGTAGCTGATGTATACGCTTCGCTGTTTGTTTAAAAGATTTTCAAAATCTCCAGTGGAAAAATATGTTATGAAGTGTAAATAAAAATGGCTGTGGTAAAAAGTACAAAAAAAATCATTTTCACCGTGTACAAAAATAATTTTCTCTTTGTGGTCTTCTGTGAAAAGTCTATGTACCCACTAAAAAAAATTCTTCAAAAATAAACATTTTCACGCCCATTTTAAATAACACTACTAAACACACAGCGAAGTTTACATGTCAGCTACAGAGCTGCAAACGGTTTCATTCTGTTCAAAAATGATGCCAGTTAGTGGCGAGAAGCCTTGTTGTGGCGTGGAAGTGTACTGCAGATTTATACACAAAAGCGGCCCTTAATTAAAAAACCACCATCGTAACAAGGTTAGAGGTCCTTCCCCGTACAAAAAAAACTTTAAAAATTGCCAATGGCTACAACACAACACACAAATAAAAATAATATATTCATCTATCATTTCATAAGACAGTAATGCGATGTAGTACATTTTAAACGGAATATGAGTGGAGGACAATGGTGTATGCTTTGTAACTGACTAAGATCAAATGTTTCTTAAACAAGGATTATCATATTTACAGCCCAAAATTAAAAGTCAACTGGGTCCAATTTTGAATCAACTTAAAAGCCTGTAGACCAATTTAAACTCTCGTAATAGTAAATTAGTGATTTGTAACCTAAGTGTATTCAAGTAATGATTACAGAACTACAGAGATAAGTAGTCATAAAATAAAACTCAGTGGTTATAGTGCTCGCCTAACAACCAAAAGGTCGCCGATCTTAGAAAAGTGAGTAGTTTATTGATAGTTTGAAACTGGGCCCAGATGTCCTTGGGCTTTTAATAAATGAAATTCTGACAATGAAACAGCTTTAAGTCAGTAACAAAGCTACACAGAAAATTTCACTCTATTTTACTCTAACCTTGTATTCATATTAAGCTTAAAATAGAGACTGAAAATTCATAAGAATTGAATTGGGGTTTTAAAGTATTCATTCAAACAAAATAATTATTTGAAAGGTTGGTTTTGTTGAAAGGTTAGTTGATATCTTGAGACAAATGTATATTCCTTGCTAATTAATAACTATGTGAATAACATTCTTGTGAGCAAAGAGTAACTATTTCAACTAAACAGATATAATATTCTGTATAACAACCTGTATCTATGGAGTAACAACTGCAAAAAATAATAAATACCTGTATCACATTATTGTAAAGAAATGCCCTTGTGTGTGTGAAATATACATTTATTGTCTAAAGCTGAATATTGTATATCCTGTAAAGAATAAAAATGCCTTGTAAGTCGGACCAACATGTTTAGAGAACACCTCAATATCAAGCGCTTAAGTCAAGTACTTGTATTATAAGACCTTAAACATTTGATAAAAACCGATCTCAGGAGAACCGAGTTAAAAAGCAAGTTACTACTCGTACTAAATTCTGTTTGTACTTTTTCAAATATTAAGTATTTAAATGCACAGAAATTAGAGAGATATGTTGACCACTTTTCAGCACTAACATTTGAACTACACAAGAAGTAATAAAACAACGAATGAAAAGGAATTCTAAAACTATATGAGTGTGCTCATAAAACCATAGTCTATAAGTGTATAACTATAGTCATATAACTAAGTCTGTTAGTGTGCTTGGCCAAATCTTCTGTTTATATTACTTGCCTTGTGTAAACTATAAGGATTCCTGATTGGATAAGAAAATAAATGACAAGATCAGTTAAATCCTTTCTTTTTTTTAGCGAATTTCCCTATAGGGAAGTAGCTATTACCGTAGGTGGCACGATAAGACCTAGGCCTGGGACCGGTTTTCTTTTTCAATTTGATGTACCCAGAGGCCAAAAACATCATTCGTTCAAATTTTTATATATATTATATAAATATATGTCAATGAACTTTTTTGTCAGATTTTTATGAATTTTCGTTTTAAGGTTTAAGGCGGGATAAACTTGAATGATTCCGCGAACCAGCATGATCAGATGACATGGGAATGAGGTTTTACAGGGGGTTTTATGGGGTAAAAATGGTTTTTCTCATTTTAGACCCTCAAAACACAACATTTCCCAATTTCTCTTTATACATTTTTAAAGAGCTTAAAAAAATAAATTATATCGAAGGGTTTTTGTACCGTTATTGGTAACGGAGAAAATTTAAAAAATCATAAATTTCAAATTCCTATGTTTTTCTTATTGAGAATATTGTAAAATGTTGTAGTTTGCTTGTTTATGGATATATTTTGGTCAAACTTGGCAAATTTATTTATTTTATATTAAGCTATTAATGTTTTACTAAAAAACACACTTTATTAGTTTCCTTGTAGCAACAAACCTAGGAACTCGTTAAACCTAATGTTATTTAAAAAGATTTGATTGAAAATCAATTCAGACAAATGGAAATTCACTTAGTCGGCAGGTTTGCAGCGGCAGGGGTATTTTAGAATAAAGATAGCGTTGTTTGAGTATAGCCCTAATAGAAACACAACATAACATGCCTTCTCCTCCTTTTTCTCGTGATTGGTATGAGCCTTATCCTCTTTTCTAGGTGCTCACCTCTAGAGCAATGGGATAATGATTAGAGCACTGGATTTCCGTCGTAGAGACCAGGTTCAAATCCTGCCAACCTCCATCGAGTTATAGCTATGTGATCATTCCAAGCCCTAGTGGTTCTACCTTTCGCTATGGATAACACCCAATAAGTAAAAAAAGATAGGTCTCTTACAAAAGAATAACTAAATCTATATGTGTTGGAGATTTTCCTCTGTGATACGCCAAACCATATTTTATTTTTTCATTTGAGATGGTAAAACTGTATCATATAAAACCACCCAACCTTTCAACCAAAAGGTTTCAACCAACATGTTGGTCGGACTTTACTGGCAGACTTTGACCTGTATTTATCACAGTTACTGGACGTAGCCGTTCGCCATCTCCTTGTACCTCTCTAGTTCCCCGGGATGCATTCTTTTGCGGTGAGAGAAGCAATTGCCAGAACTTGCAAAAGCTTTGGGACAAAACGGACACTTGTATGGTCTGGCGCCTGTGTGTTGGTTGATGTGAAACTGGAAAACACAAACTCATTATAATTGTACTGTACATTCAGAGTATTAGAACACCAAAGTCAAAACATACTTTATTCATTATTTTATACATAGCGTTAGTACATTGAATGCAACATTTCTTAAAACTAATCCTTATAACTAAGCTAATAAAATTTCGGTTTGAAAATTGGTTTTCATAATGTTAAAAACACCATAATTTCTGTTGGCGAATAATCAATTTAAGGCCATTATTTATTTTAAAACTCATCTAGTGAGTATAATGCTTTCTCAACTAGAAGTTCTTTTAATTTTCTTTTAAATTTTGACAACTGTTGATTTGTATCTATTATGGGAGAAATTCTGTTAACAAATTTAGATCCGATATAATTTGGCTTTTCCTGAAACATTTTTAATCTGCGACTTTGCAACCTTATTTTTATACTGTTTCTTGTATTGTAATGGGGGATCAACTGACCAGTGTCAAATTGCTCTTGATTTTGTTTAAAGTAAAAAATAGTTTCATATACATTAAGACTACCATCATAGTTCTTATTTCATTAAATTAATCTTTGACATGGTCAGTTTATTCCATATTTAGCATTATTCTGATTGTTTTTTTTTGTATTTTTAATATTTTTTTCAGATTTTTTATAGTGGTTGATTCATAAACATATATTATATTGTAGGCTAAATGAAAATTAATCATACCATAATAGATAATTTTTAGCGTTGTCAGATCACATATATTTCTTGTGACCTGAGAGCAGACAGACCTGAATTAATTTTAGCCAGTATTTTTTAAGACTTGTGGACAGCCGCCAAAGAGGATCCCATAGATCTAGAAATAAAAAAATGGCAGTGGCAATGGATAGAACACACCCTGCGCAAGGATCAAGACGCCGGAGAAAAACAGGCCTTGAGCTGGAATCCCCAGAGACAGAGGAGGAGAGGAAAACTTGAGAAAAACATGGAGGAGAACAATTGAAGCCGAAATCAGAGATGCGGGAAAGAGCTGGAGAGAAGTAAAGGCATTGGCTGCTAATCGTGTCCTTTGGCTCTGTTTCATAGAGGTCTTATGCTCCGCTAAGGATTGACAGGAAATAAGTCAAGAAGTCAAATCAGTACTTTTTCCACGTGGAAGTACCAACTGAGACTGCGGTCTATATTTAGGCCCAAAAAGGTTGTTTGTCGAACTGGTTCTAAAGATGTATTATCAATTTTATGTTGGGGAAAGCAACTGTTTTGTTTTAGGCAAAAAAGTTAACATAATTAGTTTTTTAAATATTTAAAAATAAATTATGCTCAATTAAAAACCTTATGGTTTTTTATGACTTAAGAGTTTGCCACAGATTTTATATCCTCACATTTTTTCCTGATATCTTTAAGTTTGAATCATCTGCATAAAGAATTATTTTTCTCTTCCTTTTATTTACTAGAGTTTGGTTTAAATCGTTGCTGTAGATTATGAACAGTAAGGGTCCCAAAATTGACCCTTGATGTACACCTTTTTTGATTTTTTTTTTCAAGTTTTCGTTTTGATGTTTTTCTTGTTCCTACTGTTTTTGTAGGTGTGTGATAATTCTACTTATTGAGTTCTGTGTTTTATGTATGATTGAAACCAATGGTGAGCAATATTGTTAATCCTCACATTCGTTAGAATTTCCAACAACTTACTGGATGGCAAACACTATCAAATGCTTTTTTAAGGCCCTTAAAGATGCCAATACATGTTTCACCTTTATCTATTGAATTTAGAATGGTTTACACAAATTCTGTTGCAGTCCCAGTTAATCTCCCATTGCAATTCATCTAACTAACCCTTTGTTTCTAAATATGCCTATTGTGCATGGCTCTCTCATAGATTTTTGGGAATGTTACGGGCAACGATAAGTGTTGATAATTTGAAATTTGTATAGGATCACCTTTTTTAGAGCTGGTATTACTTTGGCTATTTTTAGTTTGTGTGGAAAAATTCCAGAGATAAAGGGTGAATTGATCAGATGAACCATCTCCTTGCCCCCATCACCAAAAGAATTAGGATTAAGGAAAAATTTGAATGTTTTGACCATCTTTGCAAGTCCTAACCATTTTAAATTGCACCGTTGAGTGGTAGGCCTACAGTAGAACTCCAACGAAGCTTGGGCTACACCACACAGGAAAGGACAAGGAAAGAAATGGACAGAAAAGTTTCAGGTGAATTTCTATGTTATCAAATGGAAACTGCCTATACTAGACAGGAAGGACATGACACAGCTCAAAACAAAACGCCACGCCTTGACATTTGCAAAATCTGATGAATTCTCAAAAAATAATACAATCAACATTTTCTTGTTGTGGCGTCTCTTTTAGCGAATTTCCCATATAGTGAATAAGCTATTACCATAGGTCTCATGGTAAGACTTGGACCCGGGACCGATTTACTTTTTCATTTTGATGTCCCTAGAAGCCAAAAACACCATCTGTTCAAATTCATAAATATATATATATGTGTGTGTGTCCGTTAGCATGATAACTCGAGCAAAATTGATCCGATTTCAATGAAATTTGGTACAAATGTGTAAACCTTCGTTACTTCAAACAGTTAAAGTAACTTGTGTTGAATTTTCGCGTATCTTGAAGTTTCGCGCGCGAAAAAAGAAGAGGATTAGATTGTTCTATTGGGTTGTTTTTGTAACTACCTAGGATACCTCCTCTCACAACGTATTCTTCATGTTGATATCAGAATAGTTTTTCAATGACACTAAAAATAAAGGCGGCCTCTTTTCAATTTCATAAATTAATTGTTCAACGTCCTCAACACGCAAACTCATACTTAAAAATGCAATTTAGTCGCAGAGCTGTCTCTGGCGAATTGGGAACAGTTGCAACAGTTGCGCGACTGTCCCCCCCCCCCCCCCCCCCCCCCGACTGTTTCCTTGGTGTGCGCGCTGCTGAACATTTTGGTTGGGCAACTGTTGCTAAACTCAAAGTTGACTGTGTTCGCCTGGCCTAAACGTAGACTTAGGACTAAATCAGGGCATTTGTATGGCGCCACGAGGAAACAGTTGGAGGATGAAGGTGACGTTTCTGTGGATGAGCTTGATTTTATTTCAGGTAGGCCTAGCGAAAAAAAAAACAATGAAATACAAGTCAGGTAGGAGCACGAGTCAGCGTCTCGCACGTCTGGCGCTAGTGTCGTGGGGCGTGGATGCACGCCTTGGTCCGTCAGTGTGTTAATGAAAGTCAAGCGTTCCCGGGTATAGGTCCTACCACGAGACCAACGGTTATAAGGAATATTCACCAAAATGGATTATTACAATCTGGAAAATAAATTGCAATTAACTTTATATTATTGAATGGTTTTACTTTTTTCCCTTGGGAGCCAGATGATTGGAGTTTGGATAATCAGAGTTCTACTGTGCATTATGACTGTAAGACAACACCATGATAAGTTATGTTGTAAATTTGTTATGAATGTACCTTGAGATCCTGATTACGTTTGAATGTCTTGTCGCACAGCGGACACTGGTGAGGCCGCAGGTCGCTGTGAGTAATACTGTGCGCGCGCAGAGTGCTCTTGGTAGGGTACACTCGAGCGCAAACCTCACATGTAAACTGGTCCCCTCCATGATACTCTTTGTGGCGATACAGGTTAGACTGTGTCTTAAATCTGAAATTTTTGTTTTAACAATCAATGTTTACATTTTGTTCAGGTTAAGAATTGTATAGTAGAACAAATAAACGGTATCAGCAAACTGACACATACTTTCTCCCATAAGCTTGTAAGCAACCTTTATAATGGGTAAGCAATGGGAGTGTAATTATTATATTATTATATGGTCGCCATTTCATAAGAAAGTATATAAGAAAGTATAGAAAGTATATATATTCTATATAGGGATAAATCACAAAAGTTGCAATACCGTAATTGCCACAGCAATGGGGGGTTGCACTTTTTTTGTTTAGAACTACATGGACCATAACAAATTAATTTTAATCAAAACCGGCTTTTTTCCTAAAATCCGATATTTTGTTATTTTTTATGGGCTTGATATGGAAAATAAAATAAGTTACAATAACTTTTCGACCATACTTTTTACTGAAATGGGATCTGTACCATTTTGTTCAGAATTTAAAGGACTATAACATACAAAATGATTATCAAAATCTTTCGAGCCGTCTTCGAGAAAATCCGTTTATCCGTTATTTTATGGGTTTTTATGAGAAAATCACCATTAAAAATAAAAATTTTTAAAAAATGGAAAAAACGCTTTAAGATATAATACATTAGTACCTTCGTACCAAAATTCATCAAAATCGGACAACAGGCGTGGTCTGTAGTTCTGTACACATCAACACACACACAGACATCACTTTGAAAACTACTTTTTTGGGTTCAGAGGGACCCAAAAGGGATACATCCACTCAAAACTCAAACTCAAACATTTTGACAAAAACAATACTTTCTCCAGATACTATGTATAGAAGGAGAAAGTAAAATGAAAGGGATCAGCAATCTGACACATACCTTCTCTCATTAGCTTGTCAACAACCTTTATCATGGGTAAGCGTGAAGCGATGAGTATAACTATGATATTTATGCAACAGTTCATAAAATTTTGTATAATTAAATAATATATAAATAGCCTATTACCAGTCAATTAAGCCCAAAAACCTATTTAAAATATACTATGTTTAAAATCTATTTCAAACACAAGCTAAAGTAAAAATAATTATATATATCCAAACAAAATCTCAAAAAGTAATTTACCCAAATTAAATTTCATATACTATTAATTGGCCTAAGTGACTAAAAAGTAACAGTGAACATCAAGATCTAGAAGACCTGAATACATTGTTGCTGAAAAACATGTGTTAGGTAACAACTGGATTTCCTTCTTCTACCATTAACTAGCCTGATGAAAGTGTAAAAATTAGATTGTATGATTTTTATATTATAATATTTTCTAGTAAAAAGTGAAAAGCTAAACCAATAGTCTAATTATTTCAAATAGTTTAAACAAGAAGAAATATGGAAACTTGGAAGAATCTTGGTAATCTCCATCTTATTATTACAGACAATTATATTTAAGTGTTGGACAATTTGAGAACATTAGCCTAATTCTGAGGTGGATCGAGTAGCCTCCTAGCTGTTAAAATTTATATTCTTGATTCAAGTAAAGACTTTTGTTTTAGAACAATCTTATCCAAATTCGATATAAAATTATTTAGTAAAAAAGAAATCAAAGGCTAACTTTATTATCATAAAAAAAAGTTTCAAATAGGCTATTAGCAAGGAAATTGGTGATAAAAGAGAGTTCCAAGCACGAACCTAAAAACCCTGAGGTTGCATTTAATAGGTAAAATCACAAAAGTTGCATTAACTTTTGAACCTTAATTTTTACAGGAATGGGGGGGGGGTTTGCACTGTTTAGTTTAGAATTATAAGGACTCAGGGTGTCTAGTTTATTTTCATTTTAAAATTCAAGACTAATTCCAGACTTTTCAAGACGAATTCCAGATTTTTCAAGACTAGTTTTTTTCATCAATTAGTTAGCCTATGTGTTGAATGTTGATACCAAAATGTATCGATTCTCAATTCTTGATACCAATACCAACTTTTTATAGTTTAACCAAATTTTTGAAATAATTTTGTTATACTACACCAACTCAACATAGTCTCATGATACTCTTTATGTCATAAACTATTATTAAGATAATAGGGTGTTTTTTCAAGTAAAGAAAAAAATGCAGCAATAAAAAATTCTAACTAGCCAGTTTGGGTTTTTTTATCATGAAAATCTTCCGCAAACGTGTAGAAACAAAGGTTGGTTAGATCCGGAGAAAAGTGTTTAGCTGTTTTATGGTTTGAAACTGGACCCGGCTGTCATTGAGCATTGGGTTTTTAATAAATGGTTCTGACTAGTAAAAAAGCTGGTATTAGTCAGTAATAAAGCTACACAAGGCATTCTACATACAAACATCTTTTACTCATATTTGGGTTAAAATACACACATAGGTGGCGTCCCCATCTCGAATTGTAATGATATGAAAAGGTCTCCAGATATAAATTGGAGGTATTTCCACAATATGAAGTTTCTGTTTGTAAAAAGCCACAAAAAAATGCTTCCCGTTGAATATTACCTTCAAAAAGAAAAGATAAAAATTGATGTCATAATAAAAGAAAATTTAGCTTTGACATAGGCTACAGCTACACATTTTCTTATACGGTGTTTGACCAACTTAAGTAACGGTAGTGTTACTTACATCCTTCCACAGATATCGCAGGCGTACTTGCCCTTGGGCCGATGAGTCTCTAGGTGTACTTTGAGGTTGCCCTTGGTGGAGCTGAGTCGTCCACAGATGGGGCACTGGTGAGGGTGAGTCACAGGGAGGCCTCCCACGGTGTGGAGCACACCGTTGGACGAGTACACAGTGCCCTTGCCTCCACCTTTACTCCTGGAAGGTGGGAAAGAGGAAACATTAATTTTAAGTAAATGGACTGTGATCTTTGATTTTTGAGATTGAGAGGTTGGACAGCTATTTGAGATTCTTACACAGTAGTCTAGGATGGAAGGTTGGATGTTTTGTTAATATTTAGCTACGACATTTGTCGGTGTGAGTATAATAAAAAAATACTATGCATACATATTAAACTGTATTAGTTTCCTTAGGTCTAATGGCGTCAATGCAAAACTTCTGCTACTTTCTGGACGGCTCTCATACTTATATACAAACTGAAAAAATTGTATTCAAGCAATAAACATCTTTATTAAATGTATGCACATATCTTAAAATATATATATAAATAGTATGCCTATCTAAAAGTGGGTACGTCACCCAATTTTGCTTATTTTCTCAGGGGACCCAAAACACAAGGGCCTTTTAGAATGCTTTTAGAATGAGTTTTAGAATTACTATATGCTGGAGTAAATAACACTAAAAGAAGGTTAAAAACATTTAAAAAAATCATCTCAAAATCATTCTCCAGCATTGAACTCTTGACCTATCAACATATGTTCACCAACAATTAATTGCTATCTGTTGTGTTCCAATAGCTGAGGTTGGAAGATATCTCTAAAGAGGATAGGAGTATTAGTATTACCTTAGGCGAGAGTTGAGGTCCGTATCAGACAAGACTCTCCGAGACAGGTGGCTCCACAAGTGGTTCTGTAGGCTGATCTCTGAGTTGAAACCTCGTGGGCAAACACTACACTGATAAGGCTTCCCATCCTTCAGCTCTCTAAATGTAAACAACAAAAAAGAGATCAATAGTTTAGATTCTTTTATCCAAGACATTTTTATCTAAAACTAGGTGTACAATGCAGTTATCTGCTTGCAATATTGAGCGGAGCAAGCTTATTAAACAAATAATTTTTAAAGTCAATGCTACGTCTGTTCTAAGTAAGTGGAATTTCTACTTTGCAGGACTCAAAAACAATCCTACATGAAAATGAAATATTCTTTATGTTACCAGGCAAAGTTAGAGCCACATGTCCCTTTCTTACACTTAACCTGACAAGAAATAAAAATACAATGAGATTTCTTAATCTAATATAAATCTAAATATTTAACAAATCAAGAACAGATTAAACAAAAATGTAATTTAACAAAATAATAATTATAAATAGAAATAACCCCGCCGCAGCAAACCTGCAGACTAAGCGAATTTCCATTAGCCTGATTGGATTTACACTAAAATGCTTTCTTAAAAATATCAAATATATACCCTATTTAAATAGAATTAGTTTAACGAGTACTTAGGTTTGCTGCAGCAGGGAGGGTAAAAAAGGGTTTTTTTGTTTATAAAATGTAATAGTTTAGTAAGAAATTAATGTGTTTTCCAAATTCGATCAAAATATGTTCATAAACAAGCAAACTACAACAGTTGACTTATTCTCCATGAGAATAACATAGGAATTTTAAATTTACAATTTTTTGGAATTTTCTCCGTAACCATTAGGCGCACAATAACGCTTCCATATGCTTGTTTGTTTTTTTAAGCTCTACAAAATGGTTTGGAAAGAAATTGTAAAATGTTGTGTTTTTAAGGTCAAAAATAGGAATAACCTATTTTTACCCCATAAATCATAAACCCCCGTTCCCATAGTCCGATCATGCTGGTTCGCGAACTCGTTCGAATAGACTTTGGTTTACACGTTTATACCAAGTTTAATCAAAATCGGATAATTTTTGCTCAAGTTATCGTGCTAATGGACACATATATATGTATACACAACGTATGCTGCGCTCACTTGCCTTCAGGTTAGCTCGTTTGCTACGCTAACTCGCCTCCAGGTTGAAGTTTTTTCGCTACGCTCACTCACCTTTTGGTTGCAAGTTAGCTGTTGTCATAAATTTAAAAAAATAATAGTGCTGCACCCTGTTGGTAATCCTTGTAACTTTAATGCTTTTGAACATAATAGAACAGAACCAACTTGTTTAATTGAAACAGCTGTTAAGATTAATTAATTCCTTTTAAATATGAAAAATCATAATGTTAACATGGGAAACTCCAGAGCCACTGGGGCGGAGCCTGAAAGCCCGATCAGAATAAAAACTACTTAGTTTTCCTATTTAACTAGTGGCTTTTAGGGGCAATAGCCCCTATATATATATTATATATCCTGTCTCATGGGTTGAACCTTGAACCATTGGGTTGATCTCCATTGGGTCAACTTGAATTATCGTTTAACATTTTTGTATATTATAATATGTATTATTACATACCTGCATAATACATATTGTTGTCTGCACTGTTTAAAATAAAAGTTCCAAAAGACTGTTCATGCGGTATTATAAAAACTTTCTAATCATAAATACAACTAAAGAACATTTTTAATTATAATCTTCATGACAATCAATCAAATATATATAAATCTCTTTGAATATAGACAAATTCACTTAGATTAAACACATAGAGATAATGTCATCCTCCAGATTGTAAAATGCTAATTACAATGTCAGAAAAATGTATTTTGTATTTTGTTTATAAACAAAATCTCTCTGAAAACAACATTTGTTGCATGGTAGGCTATCCATTTTAGTCGATTCCTTCGTCTTTATTTGATTCTAGTACTATTTTAACATCATCTGGCCGCTTTACCTGGCTAAAAGCAACATAAAATTGACCATGGGTAAACACTGTTTTTTTTTGTTTTTTTTTTAAATCCGAGTTTTGTTAAGGTTTGGCCTTGTCCGTTGCTTTAATAATAAGTAATATTGAAAGCTAATCGAAATGATTGGGAATTGAATAGGCTACTTGTAAACTTAAACTAATCAAGATCTATAGAAATTAGTTTTATTTTTGGCATGGAAAAATAAGTTCCCTTTGCCTACTCCAGTAATCACTTCTAACTTTACACTTTGTTCAGACATACCTAACACAACCAATCGTACTCCATTATCTAATCCAGACCCTTAAAATTGGGAAAACGTCTATTTCAAATTTATAATAAGTTAGTATGCATATTACAGTACATAATACATATCATATGCTTTAAATGAAGTTAAACCACATGTTTTAATGTAAACAAAGCAGACATGACCTAGATTCCCATGTTATTTAAATGTGAATTATTTTATTCCGTAACAACGTTTTGGTGGATATTTAAGAAAAATGAATATTTTTCCCCAAAATTTCATGCCGAGACCTTTAAAATGAGACCTCCCCCAGCTTTCTACGTCCTCTCGTTCGCTCACAATTTCATTGTAAAATTTTGGGCTTACGGAATTAGATATATAGATTCCCAAAGAATCGGTGTGCCGAATATTTGAACGGAGGATGTTTTTGGCCTCTGAGGACCTCAAAATGAAAAAGTAAATCAGTCCAGGTCTTACCATGAGTAGGCCTACGATGTTAATAGCTTATTCCATATATGGGAAATTCGCTAAAAATGTAGCCTATCTTCTTTGAGAACAAGTGTGATAACTATTTTACTTTATAAATCATCTACCAGTACTTTTCCTGTAAGGCCCTAAACAAATACTAGAAGACTTACTTGTTAGTTTGTGTGCTTTCCTCTCCATCCACACTGTTATCATCTTGCCCAGAGAAGAATAGCATTGGATCTACTCTAACCTCCATGGACTCTGAACCTTCAGCACTCTCTGATTGTCGACCCTGTCACAAAGCTCAAATTAAGTTTAATCATACTAAATCAATTCTTATATGAGGTCTGTTCAAAAAGTATCCGACCTTTCGTTTCATCAAGTAATCCTACAACCGCATTGCACCCTGGCACGTAGATCACGGCAACTCTGTAAAGCATGTCCAAGGCGGGTCACCTGACCTTGACACGGTCTCCGACTTCATGAATACAGCTTTGAGCTCAGTTGGACAGTGGTGCACAGAGGTAGGCCTTTCTATCAACCCCTCCAAAGTGGTGGTTATCCCCTTCACCAGGAGGCGCGATCTAAATGGCATAGGACCTCTGAGACTACAAGACACAGTGCTTGAAATCCAGAATCAGGTAAAGTACCTGGGTGTGGTATTGGACCGAAAGCTGCAATGGGGACCACAACTTCAAAAGGTGATTGATCAAGGTAAGTGGTCACTCATGGCCTGCAGACGTATGGTGGGAGGAACCTGGGGGCTCAAGCCGGTGCTCTTGCACTGGCTGTTTATCTCAGTGGTAAGGCCTGCCATGACATACGGCTCACTCGTGTGGTGGCCCAAGATGGACTCGGTGTCAGCGGTGAGAGATCTGGCTGCCGTCCAAAGACTCGCCTGTCTCATCATCACGGGTGCAATAGGCAGCTGTCTGGGAGCCTCACTGGACTGCCTTCTCAACCTCACTCCAATTGACCTGCATGTCAAGGTCACTGCGAGGAGGACTGCCTATAGACTCCAGTACTGGACATGCCCTCGGACCACATGCCAATTCAATTCTTCTTCGCCAGGCCATTCACCGTCCTTCTTCCATCGAGAGATGAGTGGATGTCGGGTGGAAATCCTCTTCCACAAGGCGCCTTGAATGGTATACTAACGGTTCAAAGGTAAGAAGTGGGACAGGGGCTGGAATTCATGGAGTGCAGAATGGGGTGGACATTTGTCTTCCTATGGACACTCACCTAACTGTGTTCCAGGCCAAAATGACTGTGATAATTGAATGTGCTAGGGAAAACCTGAGGCTAGGCTTCAGGGACACCAACATATCCATTTTTACAGACAGCCAGGCTGCGGTGCCAGCTCAAAGCGCTTGACTCCTACGAATTCAATTCCAAGGTGGTCTGGGACTGCCTCTCTGCAGTATGCGACCTGGGCAGGCGCAACAAGGTTCCTGGCACAACAAGGCTCTGTTGGGTTCCTGGGCACTCAGGGATAGAAAGGAACGAGGTGGCTGACAGGCTAGCAAATGTCGTGTCAGCTTCAGACTTTGTGGGACCACAGCCTTTCTGTGGAATCTCTCGTGGGCATGCATGTCATTCAGTCATATCATGGGCTCAAAAGGAACACCGGAAAAGATGGTTTAGGCTTCAGCACCACAGGTTAAGTAAGCTCACCCTCTTCTCCCCTTCCCAGACGGTCGCCTCCAATGCTCTACGTTTAGACAGGAGGCAACTCAGACAGATCACAGGAATGGTCACTGGCCATGGCTTTCTGAAATTGCACCTGCATCGCTTGAGAATCCACAATGGAGACACTACAAGTAGGAAAATGGGCAGTCAGAGGAGACTACAGATCACCTACTCTACGACGTAAGGCTCTGAACGAGGTAAGGGACAGTACTCTTGGAGCAACGACAAGGGGCAGACACCTTCCTCAGGAGGAGCTTATAGATAGGATGCTGAAGTTCATTAAGCAACTCAGGTTTGACGGACTCTGAAGTACCATGTGGGGAGCGGAAAAAGCCTATCAGTAGCTGACGTGCAACAGGACAAGGTCCGTCCGCCCCTACTTAATCAATCAATCAATGGTGTCAGTTCGTTATCGGCCGTGAAACTGTGTATATAGTGTTTGTTGTTTTTGTACTAAGCAAAATAACAGAATGGGTGGAAAAGCGATACTGCATCAAATTTTGCATAAAAACTGGGCGAGACACAAGCTCAAACGATTCTTAAGTTTCAGCAAGCCTTTGGAGAAGAAAATAATGAAAAAAGAGTTGTACAATAGATTCAAAGATGGCCACACTTCGGTGGACAGTGAACCTTGTTCTTGGAGAACATCAACGAGTTGAAACGATGACGTTATTAATCAAGTTTAAGTTTTACTGATTGAGGATCAACGTATTAATGTTCGTGAACTGTCTACGGAAGTTGGAATCAATATAGGTTCATTTCATTCAATACTACTTCAAAGTTCTACGCCGCATGCGCAATGCAGTGTGTGCTACGCCAGGCCCCCTACTTACCAGATATATGGCGCCGTGTGACTTCTGGCTGTTCCCTACCTTTGAAGATTCCGCTTAAAGAGACCTGATTTCCGATCAGAAATGAGATAATTCGAAATGTGACAGCTCGTCTGAAGTCCATTAAGAAAGAAGTTCCAGGCTTGTTTCAAAAAGTTGCAGGAACATTGTAATAAGTGTGTGAGGTCCCAACAGGACTATTTTTAAGATCACATGTTAAAACAAATTGATCAATAAATTTAGCTTTCCTGAATAAGGTCGGATACTTTTTGAACATACCTCGTACTGGTATGGCCTAATTTTGTGACTCCAATGTACATAAGCATATAAAGAATATATTGATGATAACTATTTCTATATGAAAAAATGTTTTCTTTATGAATTATTATCTAGAAAATAATGGATTCACTTCAAAAACAACTGTTGAAGGTTAACCCTTGTCATTGGCCCAGCTGTTTGAAAACAAGATTTTCACTGTTTCATAGGCTTGGACTTGAGCTTGATGAATCAACTTAGTATGTAATTGTAGTTACATTTTACAGAACAATGTAGGGCCTACTTACCGGTAGACTTACGTTTGTCAAAATAGAATGTAATAAACTTCCTGCATGTTCCATTTCTTCATTGTCTTCTCCATTATCATTGCAATCTGCCTCTTCCTCTTCTTCATTATCTTCGCTTTCCTCTTCATCACAATCTTCCTCATCATCATCCACCTCCTCTTGTTCTTCCTCAACATCATTGCTATCTTCCGAATATTCTTCTTTTTTCTTTGATGAGCTTGTATAATCATGGCCATTCACGAGACTATAAAGTTTGTCTTGTACTTTTAAAGCCATTAAGGCAAACTCGTGGTGTCCATCTAATTTTTCAGAGCAGGAAATGCATACTGTTTTTGGAAGCAGATCATCTTTTGAAACCTGAAGAATACAATCTTGGATAAAACTATTTCGTAAGCAGATAGAAAATACACATATCAGCTAAAATCTAGATTCCACTGTTACAGACAAGTTGCATAGCTCCTTAATTTGCATCACACTAAAGATGCATAGGCCCTATAGTTTGATTTTGTACATCAGACAAAATTTATAAAATTTTCCAAATAACTCTGATTTTCACAGCTATAACACAAGACAAAAGAGGAGCCTTATATACCCTAGACATAGCACTTCCACCATTGAAAATTCTCCATATTACTCTGGTATTAAATTCTTTAATAGCCTGCCTAGCACCATGAAGGGTTAAACGATTTAAAACTAGTTTATTTTAATTGTTGTCAGATAAATGCTGCTACAGGATTGGGGACTTTTTCATTTAGGCCTAGTTATTAGTTTTCAAATCAATAGTTTGTTGTAATGGTTGTAGGACTAGTTGTAAGGGAGAAAGATGTACGTCCATGTCACTGGCCCGGCCATGACGGAATTAGTACATAAAATTATGCTAATATTTAGTACCTATTTCGTACTAATTAGTACCAACAAACAAAAAATTAGTACCCCACTCGGTACCGGATAACTAATTAATTTAGGATTACGGGCCAGTGACATGCTGGCCCGGCCATTTTCGAATTTGATCCTAATATGTATACCATAATTTAGTACCTATTTCGTACTATTTTGTACCTCCATTAATATAATTTGTACCTCAAAGAAAACCAAGCTACGGGCCCGTTAACTGTACAGGTCAATGACCCCTCAGCCCGGCCATATCGTAACCTATGGTTATAAGCTATACTACTATTTAGTACTTATTTCGTACAATTTTGTACCTCCATTAATATAATTTGTACCTCAAAGAAAACCAAGCTACGGGCCCGTTAACTGTACAGGTCAATGACCCCTCAGCCCGGCCATATCGTAACCTATGGTTATAAGCTATACTACTATTTAGTACTTATTTCGTACAATTTTGTACCTCCATTAATATAATTTGTACCTCAAAGAAAACCAAGCTACGGGCCCGTTAACTGTACAGGTCAATGATCCCTCAGCCCGGCCATATCGGAACCTATGGTTATAAGCTATATACTACTATTTAGTACCTATTTCGTACAATTTTGTACCTCCATTAATATAATTTGTACCTCAAAGAAAACCAAGCTACGGGCCCGTTAACTGTACAGGTCAATGATCCCTCAGCCCGGCCATATCGGAACCTATGGTTATAAGCTATATACTACTATTTAGTACCTATTTCGTACTATTTTGTACCCCCATTGAAATAATTTGTACCTCAAAGAAAACCAAGCTACGGGCCCGTTAACTGTACAGATCCATGGCCCCTCAGCCCGGCCATATCGGAACCTATGGTTATAAGCTATACTACTATTTAGTAGTTATTTCGTACTATTTTGTTCCTCCATTAATATAATTTGTACTTCTAAAAAAACTACTAAAAAAAACTAAAAAAAAAAACTGAAAGACAGATAATTTTGAAAACTAGGGAATGTTGAAGCCATAATTTTAGTTTAGGGTTTCAGTTTTTTAGAAGATAAGTTTAAAATTGTAAAAAGTCTAGCAGTCGACGCTAACATTCTACCATAGATAAAACATACTCAAATATTGATATTACTTCAGTTTTAGTTGACTACTAAATTCCCGTACGTAGGACGGGGCAACAGCTCGTTAAGTTTTACAACATAAATTAATTAGGAAAAAAGAAAGAAAAAATTAACAAAGTTGTGAACTTAATGTTGAATGAAATAAAAAAATCACCACAGTACCCTCGCACCAAAATAGCCTAAACTTCGACACATTGATTACTTGGGTTGTATGAGTAGTACATATTGTTTAATATGAAGAACTAAATAGTTGGAGATAACCACCAAATAACTGCATCACTTGTTAATTATTGAGTACTAAATAATAGCATACCTTATAACTAGAAACTGTGACATGGCCGGGCTGAGGGGTAATTAACCACTAACAATAACATGATTACACATACAATATGTAACATAAGTAGCTTGTTTATCTTTAAGGTAATTTTTTTACCTCGAAAGGTACAAAAAAGTACGAACAAGGTACTAAATAGTAGCATAGCTTATAACCATAGGTTCCGATATGGCCGGGCTGAGGGGTCATTGACCTGTACAGTTAACGCGCCCGTAGCTTGGTTTTCTTTGAGGTACAAATTATTTTAATGGAGGTACAAAATAGTACGAAATAAGTACTAAATAGTAGTATAGCTTATAACCATAGGTTCCGATATGGCCGGGCTGAGGAGTCATTGACCTGTAGGCTACAGTTAACGGGCCTAGCTTGGTTTTCTTTGAGGTACAAATTATATTAATGGAGGTACAAAATAGTACGAAATAGGTACTAAATTATGGTATACACCTACCATAATTCACAGCCTGCTGCTGTGCTGTGGTTAATGCTATTTGTCCTATGGTACCTCACTGTGGGCCAACAGTTTTTATGCTAACAGGTTGCTCTTTACTTTACAAAAGAAGGCGGTGAGGTTAATTTGTAGTGTGAATAGAAGAACACATTGTAAGCCCCTTTTTGTTGGTCTTAACATTCTCACATTTCCATCTTTGTATGTTTTGGCAAGTTTGTTATATGTAAAAGAAAACATTTCTCACTTTGAAAAGATATCTGATGTGCACAACTACTGTACTGGATCAAAAGATAATCTGTCTACACTAAGGCATAAGTATACAGCCACTCAAAATAGTTTTGAGTACCAAGGTGTTAAAATGTACAATTTCTTGCCTGCATCCATCAAAAACCTGTGTGTTTTAAAATTCAAACATGTTTTAAAAACTACTCTAACCCAGGCTTGCCTGTATAAACATGAAGAGTACTTTGGTTTAGAGTTTTAGATATTTTAATTGCCAGAGCCATCTTGATTGTTTTGTTTTTATTTTGACGATTGTCATGAACTTTGTACATAGTTTTAACGACAATAAATCATTTCATTTCATTTCATTTCATTAGGATCAAGTTCGAAATTGGCCGGGCCAGCTTGTCACTGGCCCGGAATCCTAAATTAATTAGTTAACCGGTACCAAGTGGGGTACTAATTTTTTGTTTGTTGGTACTAAATAGTACGAAATAGGTACTAAATATTAGCATAATTTTATGTACTAATTCCGTCATGGCCGGGCCAGTGACATGGACGTGTAACTTACATTTAGATTGTAGCTAATTAATTAATTAGGTAGTTGTAAATATTTCAAATGTATAATTATGTTTCATTATTGACTTGACACAATTCATGTATAGAAATGTACGGGTAGGCCTACTGTTTGAGTAAAGGATTTTTTTTATTTCATTAGATTGAGCCGCGTTTATTTGAGGTCAGTAGGCAGGCAGTCTACCGCCTGCCTCACCTTTTTCAAGTTAAGCCATGTTTGAAACACAAGGCCAGTAGAAAGGCTCAGCAAGCAGGTTACTTGGCTCTAATCTATTTCAAGTTATTTCATGTAAGGTATTTCAATATCGGTAATTTTTGGCACTTTGCTAACCTCAGCATGGGTTAGTTTGGGTTTTTTAGGTTAGGTTAAATTAGGTTGGATTATAATTAAATTTGGTTTACCCAAAAATCTTTTTTTCGGCACTTTGCTATTTTTCACGACTTTTCAACCTGGTTTTCTAGGTAAATCGGTACCTACCTAAGTTAAGTTTGCTGAAAAAGTGTCCGAAGGAAGTGTTTGAGATAGCCTAAATAACTTATAATAAAAAAACATATGGAGGGAAAAAATAAATTTTTCAAGTGCAATAAATTGTTGATTTCTAAGAGCTTTTTGCGATGTCCAATTCAAATGCGATTTTCAGGGTGAAAATAGTCGTTTCCCCCAAAAGTTCCAAAGGAAAAAAGTGCATAAAATAGCCTAATTTTGGTAGAAGGCAAACAAATGGGCTTATCTTTTTATAGGGTAAGCTAGGCACTGTGCCTTTTTTTATTTTACCCTTAAAAATATATAGCCTATATTCATAATAGGCCTACATAGACATAGTTATTTTAGTTTTGGAAATGTGTTTATAAGGGAAATTCTCAAACTAAGTTAACTTACCCTTAAGTTAAATGAACATAAAACTTAAGTTAGTGTTACTTATGTAGGCTACAAAAGACTAATTAATTTTCACAAAGCTCAGGCTGCAATCTTACAAATAAAACAAAATTAATATTATCAACCACTTCTAACTTAATTATTTAACATTTTTATACTAAAACCTACACAAAGTGAGAGTCAAAGTCTCAATATTATGGTCATTTAGCTAAGATGCATCACGGTTGTGGGGAGATGAATGGAGAGGATGCACTTTCACTGGCGGTCCATGGCCTCCCGATCCCAAGGCGAACAGTGAAATCACTTTTCTATCTCGGGCAATTTCAAGGTTGACATAACCTCTCTTTGTCAAAACAAAACTGACTAGCTAGAACGACTATGATTTTTATAAATTTATCCGTAATATAGGTAAACTAAACACTGTAACATAACAGCGAGAGTACAATAATTTGACACTCACCTCTATGTGCAAGTAGCTTCTTATTTTCGCTTCCAATTTATTACGTATTCCTTCATCTCCGTAAATATTCGTTCCGTTGTTTTCCTCACTGCAAATTCGACATAGTACCTCGACATTTTTGGTCACACTCATGTTTAAAAGAAAAATTGAAGAGAAAACCACACTACATTCCTATGGGATCATGCAATTGTTTTAAAATCGCAGCGGACAGCTAGTGCCAGTAGGCGGTGTTTTTTAACGCCGGCCCCTCACAGAGAGAGGGGTGGTGTGTGGTGGTAAAGAAAGACGTTGATTTCACAAGTACTATTTGTGGTGCTCGCTCAATACTAACCATGCCTGCGCTATTGCAATTTAACCCCGTCTGTCGGTGGGTTCATTGCCCGTGTGTCTTACGACAGCTCTTCTACTTTGTTTTTGTCTCATGAATGTCGTAAACACAAAAATAGATCACAAAGAGAAATTTCATGTCAAACTGAACATGTAATATTATTTTTACTTCTTTCTAAAAACTAATTTCTTCTTGTAATTTTTTTCTAGACCTAGTTTTATCTAATGTTTGCTCCAAAGTCAAATCATAATTTTATAAAAACCACAGACAATGCAATGTCCCTTGTCTACGTAATACAAACTGATAATTGGAGTTCATGTTTTTTTTTTTAAAGGCAATAGCTTTTTTTAATTTACGAAGTAAAAAATGACTAATTGTGCTAAGCTAAGTCTCAATACGTTCACAGTTTACTTCACATTTAACTATATGAGTGTAAGTAATTAACTTATGAGCATGTCCAATATGTTAACATCCTCCAGGAAAGAACGTATACGTTATAAAATAAACGGTATCAGAAATCTGACACATACTTTCTCCCATTAGCTTGTCAACAACTATTTTCATGGGTAAGCGATGAGAGTAACTATGGTATTTGGTATTTAATAGGTACCTAAAATCTCAAAACTTTCACTAACATATGAACAGTAACTTTAACAGGAATGAAGGGATGCACTATTTGGTTAGAATTACAAGGACCACAACAGAAGAATTTCAATCAGAATCAGTTTATCTTCAAAAAATCCATTTTTCCGTTTTTTAAATGGGTTTTTATGGGAAAAATAACATAAGTTACAATAACCTTTTAACCATAATTTTTACAGAAATGGGGGGTTGCACTATGTTGTTTGGAATTATAAGTATTACCACATACAAATTTCAATCTAAACCGGTTTCTTTCGAAAATACGATTTTCTCTTATTTTATGGGTTTTTTATGGGAAAATAACATAATTTGCAATAACTTTTGAACCGTAATTTTTACAGAAATGGGAGTTCTACCATTTTGTTCAAAATTTAAAGGGCTACAAACATACTAAATTTTCATCAAAATCGTTAGAGCCATTTTTGACAAATCTGATTTTTCCGTAATTTTATGGGTTTTTATGGGAAAATTGACATTAAAAATCAAAATTTCTAAAAAATGAAAAAAACGCCTGGAGATACTATGGATTAGTACCTACATACCAAATTTAATCAATCGGACTACAGGTGTGGTCTGTAGCTCTGTACACATCCAGACACACCCACACACAGACATCACTTCAAAAACCACTTTTTTGGGCCCCGGGGGACCCAAAACGGATATATCCACTCAAACAAAACTCAAAAATTTTGACAAAAACAATACTTTCTCCAAATACAGTACTATGGTATAGGGGGAGGAAGTAAAATTTATAGGTCAATAAAATTTCCCGTTAATAAATAAAGGTGGTACAGTACTATATTAAAAATTCGCTGAAAAAGTCTAATAAATACCATTTAAAAACATCTCTATAACTATATAAATGAGAAATTCCGATTAACGCACAGACCAAACCATAGCACCTAGAAGCATGAGATTTTGCCTGCTTACATCCTCTCATAACATAATATAGTCGAGATTATATTTCCTGTTACCACTGTCGACTCCTGCCATAGATTTAAGTTAGTTGTTAAGTTTTCTGTTAAAATGCATGTTGTTACCACATAGGCTTCTTGAATCTACATTGTAAATTGGTGATCTTGCCGTTGGAATAAATAAATAAATAAAATAAATAATGTAGGCAGACAAAAAGAAGCGATTTTACAAAGTTCTCAATGGGCCCTGCCACACAGAAGGTCATGCTTAGCATGGAGTTCGTATAGGAAGAATACTTAATTTGTTTTGGGTTTTAGCGAATTTCCCATATAGGGAATAAGCTGGAATATAAGGGAATATTACCGTAGTACTCATGGTAAGACCTGGGACCGATTTTTTTTTTTCGTTTTGAGGTTCCTAGAGGCCAAAAACACCATCCGTTCAAATTCATATATATATATATGTCCGTCAGCACGATAACTCGAGCAAAAATGATCCGATTTTGATGAAATTTGGTACAAACGTGTAAACCTATGTTTATTCGAACGAGTTCATGATCCAGCATGATCGGACCATGGGAACGGGGGTTTTATGGGGTAAAAATAGGTTTTTCCCATTTTTGACCCAAAAAACATAAAATTTAGCAATTTCTTTCCAAACCATTTTGTAGAGCTTAAAAAAACAAATAATTTAGTATATTGAAGCGTTATTATGCGCCTAATGGTTACGGAGAAAATTCCAAAAAATTGTAAATTTAAAATTCCCATGTTATTCTTATGGAGAACTAGCTGACCCGGCGAACTTCGTATCGCCTAAGTTATAGGTTCCCCCTAAGACAGACCGATGGAAAGAAAGTACCGTTACGTTTAATTTTCAAGATGATCTCGTTCGCATCGCTCAATCACGTCCTGGTTGAAGTTCGTTCGCCACGCTCACTCACCTTTGGGTTGGAGCTCGTTCGCTACGCTCACTCACCTTTAGGTTGGAGCTCGTTCGCTGCGCTCACTTGCCTTCAGGTTAGCTCGTTCGCTACGCTCACTCGCCTCCAGGTTGAAGTTCGTTCGCTACGCTCACTCACCTTTTGGTTGCAAATTAGCTGTTGTCATAAATGTAAAAGAAATAATAGTGCTGCACCCTGTTGGTAATCCTTGTAACTTTAATGCTATTGAACATCATAGAACAGAACCAACTTGTTTAATTGAAACAGCTGTTAAAATTCATTAATTCCATTTCTCATAAGGTTAACATGGGAAACTCCAGAGCCACTGGGGCGGAGCCCTTTTAAGAATTTCGAAACGGGAAATAGTTTACGTCCGATTCGCATACCTACAGAATTTACACACCAAATTTCATAACGATCGGTGAAGTCGTTCCGGAGGAGTTTGAAGACAAACACTGTGACACGAGAATTTTATATATTAGATAAGTAAACTGTTGTAATTTGCTTGTTTATGCATATATTTGGATCAAACTTGCCCAATCTATTTATTTTATACTAAGCTATTAATATTTTACTATAAAATATGTGTTTTTTTTTAACACACTTTATTACACTGTAGGCAGCAAACCTAGGTGCTCGTTATACCTAATGTTATTTGAATAGATTTAATTGAAAATCAAATCAGGCAAATGGAAATTCGCTTAGTCTGCAGGTTTGCTGCGGCAGGGGTATTTTTACATTTGTCTGCAATTTATTTAATCATCATCTGTTAGAATAAAAATTAAGTTTATTTCGGACCATATAAAACATGTAATAAAGAGGGTCGTTTTATCGAGGTTTAATGCTGCTGTTATTCTTCTTATAGAGGTTTCTCCTCGCTCCAAGGTTTCTCCAAACAATGACTGAGGAAGGAGGAGGGATGGGTGGGGGTTTCATGTTGAGACAAGCTTCTGTTTGTTTTGAAAACTACGTACTATGGAGGTTAAGATTATGATAAATTCGTCTTATAGAGGTCACGTTCAGTTTTTGTGCTAAGAATATTCGTTGTATAGAGGTTAATCAGTCCTAGCCCATGTTATAAACAAATTCGTCTTATTGAGGTTTTTAACTTAATTACCACGTTGTATAGAGGTGTTTTTAGCATTGACCTATATGAAAGTGTCAAGGGGATAAAAAAAAAAATTGTCTTATCGAGGAATTTGTTTTATCGAGGTTCGTTCAAACGAGGTTCACTGTAGAAGTCTTTGTTGGGGAATTCCTTAAAAGTAAAGTGAATATTACCGAGAAAGCTGTAGAGTATTCAAATTCAAAACTTCTTTATTTGTTTCACGTACATTGTACAGCAACAGCAATACAATAAATAGGCGTCACAGTTCCTTAATCCAACTCAGTTTATTGCATTGAATTGTTCAGGGTTTTTATTGACAGTTGTGTAGCATCAGCATTCACATAAGTTAAGTCGTACTACACATGAGTTCACTTTTGAACTTGTTTTGATTTTCTATATTCAATATTTCTTTTGGAATATGTTTTTAAAAAACAGAACCAGCATAGGATGGTTTCTTTTTAAATAGCTGAGAGAATTGTGAAAAGGTAAGACTATGTTTTTAGCGAATTTCCCAATAGGGAAGTAGCTATTACCGTCTAGGTCTCATGGGACCAATTTACTTTCATTTTGATATCCCCAAAGGCCAAAAACACCATTCGTTCAAATTTGTATATATGTATCAAAAGGTTTTTTTGGTGATATATACTAAATAACTTCTTGATCAGCATTGTAGGCCTACGTGTTATTAAATTTACGGAAAGTAATTAAAAGAAATGTCTTATAACACTTAAAATTAAGTTATATAATTAATTATTTATTAATAAATAATTATTTTAATTGTTATAAGACATTTCTTTTATTTACTTTCCATGATATATACACGTCCATGAACGCGATAGCTTGAGTAATTTTTGTCTCATTTCGATGAAATTTGGTTTAAAGATGTAAGGAGAGATAAGAATGAGTTCGCAAACCAGCATGATCGGACCATGGAAACGGGGTTTTACGGGGGGTTATATGGGGCAAACATTGGTTTTTCTCATTTTTGACCCTCAAAACACAAAATTTCCCAGTTTATCTCTAGACCTTTTTAAAGAACCTAAAAAGAACAAAGAACAAATACTGTAATAAAGTATATCAATGTGTTTTTGTTTATGTATGGCTATGTCCGCAATCGCGGCATAATTATGAAAATTCCTGACTTTGATATCAAAATAAAGACTAAATCCCGACTTTTCAAGACCATTTTGAAATTGAAT